AATGATATTAGGAGGTTCTTGCTAGGAGCAATTGGACAAAGAGCTCCCGGGGAAGGCTCTCGGTGACACATGTGTCACCGTCTCTTCCAGGCCATCCTTTGTCAGCAACCAAATTCCCCTGCCTGCTCAAAATAGGGCCGTGGCCCAAGAAAGAGCATGGAGAAAAGGTCAGTGCTCTGGTCTTAGAAGCAACCCTCTGAATTCCCTACTCATCCTTTCCAAACGTGGGCTGGAACCTGCAGAGGTTGGACAACGGCATCTCGTAGCGGGGCTGCCTTTCTGTCCCTCCGTTTAACCTCACGCTAGCAGGACTTCACAGAGACTCTGTGTTTCACTTGCTTTTTTCCTTCTTCAGAACAACATCCAGTGAGTACCACAAACCCGCAAGCAATTAAAAAGCAGATATTCTTCAGGTGAGGTTAGTTGCTCATCAAGAAAATCCACTGTTCATCCTGCTCCGGCAATGCCAGTGATGCTTCTGGAATGCTGTAGGATGTGCAGTGTAGACGGTGGCCAGATTTCACTCCTGTAGAAACTGTTCACTCAGGCGTATTTATGGGCCCTGGGAATGTGGAGCAGCCAAGGGATTTTGGAGTTTTGCGAGGGACATCTCCGGGTCCCGCGAGTGCTGGTGACCAGAACCAGCGTCGTGAGTGGCTGCGGGAAAGGTTGGGATCTGGCCATCGGGGGCTGCCCTGCGTGCTCCATATCACAGTTCCAACCGCTTGGTGCGGCTGGCTGGTGATGACACCCACAGTCCTAGCAGGAAAAACCCCGGGGCTGAATCCTCTTATCGCTGCGACTGCAGCGGCCTGGCCGGGCGGTGCAGGAGCCGCAGGGGCTGCAACCGGGATGCAGGGCCCTTTGCTGCGCAGGGGTTGCAACCGGCGCCGCTGCAGGGCCCTTTGCTGCGCAGGCCCGCGCAGCTCGCGGGGCCCTTTGCACTCAGGCTGCCATGGGCCTCAAGGCTTTGCTGCCGTCTGCTGAAGTTAGAGCAAAGCTGGGAGCCTCTGAACCAGCTTCCCACCCTGCCACCGATGCGCAGCCTCAGAGCCGAGTCCGGTGGGGTATTGATGCCTGCGGGTTGTTCTCCAGCCTGCTCGGGAAGGACCACGCGCCCAGCCCACGTGGCGGGCACTAGGGGCTTGTCTAAGTGCCAGCCTGTCATCGTTCAGCCCCTGGGCAAAGCCCCGCGTTGCAGGGCGGCCAGAGCCAAGGCCAGATCTCTCCTTGTGGACGCCTTGGCCCGCTCCTTTGCCCAAGGTCCCTTGGAGCAGCCCGGATCCTGCTCTTTTTAGCACATCACAGGAAGTCCAAGCACTTGTTCGCAAGAGTGAAAACCTTCTGCTGACCAAAGTCCTTGGAGGTTACAGATGTGCAGCTCTGGGGCACTGGACATGGGCGCTGAGGGGCACTTGTGCCAGGAAAACGCAGCCTCTATGAGCAGCATCTGGAGCAGCTTCTCCCACCAGCTTCCAGCAGCGCTCGCGGCCACGACGTCGCGCTGTCCCAGGCCTAGTGCCAGCATCACGCCCTGCTCCAGCGCTAACGGGATTCAGGGGTGGGCTGTAACCTCGAGCCCCATCCACGGGGAGGCTTTTCGGCTGTCCGGGAAAGGCCTCCATGCACCTCACCTCCGGGTCTTGCTCTTTTCCCTTCACGGTGCCTCCTTCCTGCTCTATCATCCCCAGCGCATCCCACCAGGCACAACAGCCAGATAATTTCAAGCACATGGCTCCGGAGGGGCAGCAGAGGCTTGTGCAGGAATAACCTCCCCCCGGCTTGTGTCTTGGAGAGCCCCAGCGCCTTGTGCAGGCTCTGCTGGGCACAGGGCACGAGGAGGAGGGCAAAGCCTGGCACGGGCAGCGCTACGGGCCGCCCCCGAGCGCCGAGCTCGTGCGCTCCTTGAGTACGGCAGCGATCCGAGAGCGCGGAGCTGCTGCTGCAGATCCTGCAGCTCCTGCAGCTCCCGAAGCCGCTCCCCCCGCCCCG